TCTTATATCGCACCTGATTATTAGATATTAGATTATTGCTATTTTTCAAATTTTCGTGTTTTGCCTTGTGAATATTTTTATAACGTTATGCTAATAGAGAAATCACCATTCAATGAAACGTTTTGGTATATTATAAAGAAATGTACTTTTTTGTAAGTCTGTGGGAAAAAACAAGTTAATTAAAATATTATTTCTTTTGTGCGTACATAGATTATGCCATAAATTTTACCATTCAAACGTTTAAATGGTAACTTACACCATTAATGACGTTTAGAATTAAGAAGAAATTTTAAACAATTAAAAACTGTTTCAAAAAAGAACGTTACCTATAAAAGGTTTGTTGTTTCCAAATTAAAACGGAAAAATAAATCCCACCGGTTTTGTTGCTACCCTGGTTAATTAACTAAACTAGAATGAATCATCCCTGAGTCTAACTTCAATTTGATTTGTACAAACATCTGCTTTGTTCACATCAGCCAGTGTCGTCCCTATTAATTTGTCAGTAATTAATCTCATCCTTACACCAAGGGTGCGCCGTGGATATATTATTACATAAACTTACCGGCGAACTATGAGGTACTCTCCGAAAAGCTTTCAACGGAATTTTACCATCAAAGTGTCTGCTAGTTAGGTTTTCATTAATCCAAATACGTAAAACGTTAAAATAGCCGTTTTCATTGACGTAGGGTGAAACTTTTGTAATAATTAAAATAACTTAAGTGTGCTATAGATCCAATTACTATTTATACATTTATACATACTTACTTGCTCAAAAATTATTTAGTAAGTTTTACATGAAAATATTCAAACTGTCATTCAAATATACTTTAAGAAAAATGGAAAAAATTGATAGATGACTAAACGAATACACCTAAAATGGAAATAAAAAAGAAAAATAATAGAATGGCGCACAGTTTACGTAAGTTTAGATAGGTAAGTTAAAGAATAAATCTAATATGGTAGAGAGAGAGAGAGAGAGAGAGAGAGAGAGAGAGAGAGAGAGAGAGAGAGAGAGAGAGAGAGAGAGAGGCATGTAGAAGAGTGTGACAGAGAGAAAACAAACTAGAAAGAAAGTGATAGTGATAAAAGAGGAAGGAGAGTTAAGAGAGGAGAAGGAATAGCGCACAGTTCATTTGTTTTGCATAAAATGTAAGTCATTATGGTTTAGCATAAAACTTGAACGAAATTGAGCAAATTTATCAACGTTTTTTCGCGTTATCCCATTTATGTTATTTAATTAGTTTATTAGAAATTTTTAAGTTTATTAGAAATAAAGTTAAATTAGAATTATTTATAATTTTTTTTGTATATAGTGAAATTACCCTTATTTATTCAGATATCGTGAGATGCGGTCGGGTGTGATGTAGTTTTCTGATAAACATTTTCTTTGTCGTGCCAACGTTTCGATCTTTACTGAGATCATCTTCAGGGCCTGGGATTTACAAACAATGTTTACATTTAATTCATTTTAAACGTGAAAACGTGCTGTACGTAGATTTATATAAAAAGCAAAACAAAAACGAATTGAGTCTCGAGAAAATTGAAATTTCAAATACCCTAGTAAAAAAATGAACATTTGTTGTGACAATAGTGGTGCATTTTACATCGGGATATAAATTATGAAATGGCAGAAAATCGTTAAATGAATGAATTGCAAACCCAGAAAGGAGACATGTTCCATTAAAGAGTCCATCATTGTTATAAGCAATCGTCTGTTTATTTAATACGTTGCTAAAGGGTTAAACGTTTATTATTGACCATTCTCTAAGAAAAACAATTAATAATTTATTAATTACGGCTGATTGAATTGAGCGATATTTTCTCCTAATGCGGGTTGAAAATATATTGAGCTCATAATAAATTTAGAAGCGTTTGATTATAAAATTAATTGTCTTATTCTATTGTGACACTTCGTTTTTTAAAGTATAAAAGAAAAGGTTTTTTCAACTATTTTTTTTCCTCTTTATTATTATTGGAGAGAAAACTTGTACAGTTAAATTCCATGAATTTTTAAGAAATTTCCGTGTTTTATTATCCCTAATGCGAAACAGTAATCTTTTTAAAACTGTTAATCAGTTTATTATTAATAAATTTTGTTAAAAATTGAAATAATTTCTTTATAATGAGAAGTTGTTTTTTAAACATGATCGTTTTACCTTCATGTTTATAGTTAATTATTAAGGTTCCATAAATTATCTTTCCTTTCTGTAAAAAAAATCTCTAACCATACCAGACTAGGTGCAAAAAATAATATGAATTGTTTACCTACTTTTATTTTTTAAATATTGCTATATACTATTATATATTTTACATGCTTGTGCACTATTAATTTATTTCAATGTTAAGGTTATGTTAATTGTTCTTTTGCTTATATAGTAAAAGGTTTATTAATATTTCGTACATCGTCAAACAATCAGTTTTTCTCAATAAAATTAAATAAAAATGACATGCAGATTTGAAAGTATTATGGAAATTAATCACTTCATTTTGTTCCAGCAATTGTATAAACAATGAAATTAGAGCTGACAAGGGTTTCTCTAAAAAAATTATTTAAAATGCTAAATGCTAACAAGTATTATTTTTAACGAACCTTTTGACACCGACCATTATACAAGCGTTCTAGAAAAACCCAATTATCTTTTTTTCACTGCTTCATTCCCTAGAAATACGGCATTTTAAGTCTTAGAGCTTTGATGTGAGATACTATGGAGGACGACGGCTGGACAGATCAAATTGTGTCCTTCATCCTTACCCTTCAAAGTGACTCGTTGCTCCTGACCTTTTCTTGAATATATTCATGTATGAATAAATAAAACAAATAAACGTTTAAAATTGCAAGAAGCCAATTATACAAGAATGTCTTTTTGTCAGGCTAGGGGCTATGAAATAATAGAGACACGTTTTTTGTTAATAATTTTTCAAGAAATATGCCTACAATTCGGTAAATTATATTTTTCATCTGTTTTCTAAAAATCATAAACCTTTTTGTTTTGATTGTTTATTTAGAATTAACACAGTATTCACAAAATGAAAAATGAAAATAAACTAACTAAAAGCTTACAGATAAATTTTACCTTTTGCAAATATATCTGTCCTCCAATGGCCATAAAGGAAACCCCATTACTTACCATTTATAAATATGTACATATAAGTTATTTAAATTTGTTATCTCTCAAAAAGGTGATTCTCATTTAAAGAAGTTTTAAATTGTTCACATAATTTAAACTCATTACTATGAATCAAAAGTGACCGGGTTTTTTTTATAATCAGTTTTTCCCCGCTAAACGCAGTAACAGGCTACATAATACAAAATGATTACAATATTAAGGTTGTAGAAGATTATAAAGCACAGTGTCTTTCGCACTTCTAACGCAAATGTAAAAAGAGTCAGGTTGCAATCTGCACATATGTAAATATTTGGTCAAATATACTAACTTTTCTTCTTTCTTCTTCCATTACTTACCAATGGCCTTATGAGTTATCTTGGACTTTTCTTGGATAAACGATTGAAATGGAATTACTACTTGACTCACTTTAAAAATAAGAAATTGACAACCATCTTTTAATTTACCAAGACCAGTAATAAGGCAGGTCAGGGCGAACGATTGTGAAGTAAGGGGATCAACCAAAGATTCCAGTTAAAAATAATAGAAAAGTTTCTATCCTTTTTAAAAAAGATTAAACTCCACACTCACCCCATCATTTATAATTTCTAGAAAAGTTTCTATTCTATTCAGTCTAAAATTCTCCGTCAAATTACAAATGCTCCCTTTTATGGGTTTAATTATACTTTTCTCATTCCCTTTGTACAAGACTTAATGAAAACCCGTTATAACAAATTACATTAATCACATAGTATGCATAATAAACTCCTAGTACAACATCTCAATTTCAACCGTACTAGAACTAATTATTTACTGTAATGTAAACGAGCTAAATGCATCTTTACAAATATTTATTGGTGCTAGTGTCTCAATCATTCAAGTGAAGATATATTCACTTATGCCAACTAAAGGTTTTTTAAACTTTTTCCTTGATCTCAATAATTTAATACAACTGTATAATTTCTACGCGTAGAAAGTAGGTATTTTAATTAACTGAAACAAAATTCAATATTTAAATAAATAGATAATTAAATATTCTTTTAAAGTTTATCATCAAACATAAAAAATTGCTTGAGCCATAACTTAAAAATAGTTGTCGTGTGTGGTTCATACCTTAAGTGTTCTATAACATGAGATAAACCTATAATCTCGTTATACTTAAAAAAGAAAATATTTCAAATTAGTAAGAATAGGAACAAAAATATATCTTTTCAAAATATTGATTACATCTGATTTTTAAATGAAATATCAAGAGACAGGAGGTCTCTATTTCTTTTTGTTTTACATGACATTTATTCGATCAATCAGGGCTAATCAAAATTGAGGTTTAGAGAGAGGACGGAAGATATCAGTCAAGGGAAGCCAATCTAGTCAGACAAGTTCAATTATGAAAACCCCCATCTTGGATATTGACTCGGCTTCCCTGTCCTCCAACCATACTAGATTCCATGGGGCGTGTGTGGTTTGTATCATTAAGTAAGATTTAATATGAAAAAAACCCATATTTATCTTTTTTTATAAATGGGGGGGGGGGATCTTTCAACATCGAAGCAGGTCAACTGGTTTTTTAAATTAAAGTTTAATACGGGAAAAAAGTTGAACATTTTCAAAGTGCCTTACTTAGTAATTTAACTTTAGGCTATAACTTGAATTAATTAACTTTTTAAACAAAAAGTAGGATAAGTTTTTTTCTTGTTTATCCTAACTGGTTAAATTGTACAGCAAAGAAGGTCACTAATTGTGAATATTTACTTTTTGTAAAATCTTATATATTTTTGTATTTTTGTAAAAAGTTTCAATCGTATATATATATATATGTATATATATTTTGTATAATACATTTTTGTCATGTTTTTGGCAACATTATGAAAATGACTAAAAATCATTCTTTTACAGGCAATGACAAAAGGCACGGTAGAGGGAGTCATCATGAACGTGCAAAGAGGTATGAATAATTTAATAAATAAAAATATTTTTATAATAATTACAATTAATTAAGGTTTTTAGTTGAGATAAAAAAGTCAATGACACGAGCGGGATTCGAACCCACGATCTTCGGTTTGATACGCTGCTCTACCACTTGATCTATCGTACCTCGATCCACTCGGACACCAACTTCCTATTTCAACCCCACCTTTTGAGTTTTCTCTTTTTTATCTCAATTAAAAACCTTAATTAATTGTAATATATTAATTGGTCAAGCGGGCCACGAAATTAATGAATTTATAATAATTATTATATTAAATTTTATATTGTGAGTTAAATGTTTTAAATAGTTGATGGGTTGTAAATAAAATTTATTTCAAAAATTAAAAATACGTTATTATAAAACAGTTATAAATACTATAAAAAATTCTTAAAATAAAATATCAAGCCTCCCTTCTGTGGCAGCGGGATGTTGAAATTAAAATCAAATTAGGACGAACAAGCCAGATGGCATTAGACGAAAGGAAAAATAAAGTGAATTAAAATCTCAACTAAAAGAAAAATGCAAAAGTAAATAATTCAAAAATTTTTCATTCATGAATATTGAGTGACGTTTAATTGCGACAGGTAGGCAAAGTGACGATGTCGGTCGAGAGTTGATCTTAGGTGGCTCTGAACCAAACAAGAGGGATTTGCTCTCGGACACTTACTTTTGGGCCAAAGCCCACGTATTGTCCAGCACTTTGAGAATGATTGCTCCACATTTCTTATTTTGTTGAAGGACGTACATCCTTAGCCCCAAATATGGTTCATTCTCCATATGAGGATTGTGCATGAAAAACTCTGGTCCTCCTGCGCATTTTGGAGGGAACAAAGCTGTTATAATTTACAGCTGTTACAATTTACTACTTGATAAAATCGTTTTTTGTGGTTATTTTTGTTTCGAGATGGAATGAATGACACCTCTCGAGCTTAACTTCGTCGGCGGAACGAGTCAGAGGTCTGACCCTGGACATCCGTTACAGTCCAGAGATTAGATTATATAAACCAATCAATCGTATTTATCAGTATATAATTAATGAGTAATTTATTTACATTAAATATTGCAAACTCAAGAACAAATAACAGCAACATCTACTGGTATACGAATTACATATTCCACAGCGGTGATATGTTTATATTTTTAAAGGACTATGTACATCTAGAACGTTGTTTCTGAGTTTTTATTTCCGTACTTCTAAATATTTTCTATTATTTAGACTTGGAAAAATTCTTTAACATTTCATAGTACTTCCCGGTTTATGACCTACACATTTATTTCACCGTCAGTTATAAAAACACAGATAGATAGGTAGAGAGAGAAAGAGAGAGAGAGAGAGAGAGAGAGAGAGAGAGAGAGAGAGAGAGAAAGAGAGAGAGAGAGAGAAAAAAAGAAAATTTATTTTTTAGAGGGTACCTCAACTACGAGGTTGTATGAACCCTCGGAGTGCCGGTATTAAAAAAAAAAAATTGTGTATAATATGTCGGGAACCCGAGACCTTTACTTTACAGTGATGACCACCGTCACTACCGAAACCGTTGCGCCAAAAAACAGTAAAAATTCACCCGAAATTGTTAAATATTTTGCATGCTGAAGAGGAAGAAAGGCTACTTTCAAATACATGGAAAAGATAACCAGCTATAAAAAAAAGATGTAGAGAGATTGAGATTGAGAGAAAGTGAGGGAGAATGAGAGAGATTGAGAAAGAGATTGAGAGCTAGAGAAAGAGTGTGAAAGTGGTTAAGAATGACAAAAATTCCATTTATATCACGGCACTCGGAGATCTATAGTTTTGCAACAGCGGCGAGTAATGATGGTTTAGCATAACGTTTGTGCCGTAAAGCGTTTTCTATTTAGAATGAATTACATATGTATCAGAGTGGCGGATGGGTTTAAAAACGTTTGAGTTTTAAATAACAATTCATCTTTAATTTAAAAAGATTTATTTCGAGTTAGTTAAATAGTTCTACCTTTAATCATCTATATATAGAAAGTTTCTATATAGTAACTAGATTATTAAACAAGCAACAAGCCAGATGATTTAAATTTACCAATTCCCAGGTTTTACTATGTAGAAAATTTGTTCCTAAAATAATGTTTTGAATGGATGAAAAAAAATCTTCCCTCAAAGCGAGTTACTGTTAGGTCTGCAATTAAACCATCTTGATTATGTCATATCATCTAAATTAGAGGCCGAGGTAAGTGCTTTGAAACATGCAATACGTTGCTCTCGGGAGAGTAGTTATGAGCGTAACACAGAACTTTCCCTCCGTCCGCTATACATTAGTGCGAAGAGCATAAATTCATTTTTTTATTGTTCAATAAAAATATTCTTGTTTGAAAGAAATGGAATTATACTTAAAGACTGGGGTATATATGTCTTATATGTATGTATATAAGTAATAATACATAATGTATATATATACACACGTAAATTACCATATAATTATTTTAATGTAAACCAAATTATAAGAGATCAGAAATTCATGAGTTTTTATAAAAAATATTTAATTATGATGGTTTGGAAATAAACGTACTAATTTTTAGCTAAATTTTAATCTACCACTACTACCACTAAAAGATTTTCTGGTGTTTTGGTAAATTTTCTTTCCAGCCATCATAATTAAATATTTGTTAATAAATCTCTAATTTGGTTTTAATTTGCTTTACATTAAAATAAGTAAGTTGTAATTAATAACGATAAAAATACATATAGTTTAAAATAAACAGCATAATACAAGTATCCGGTTTTTTGTTTTGAATGTATTAATCTGATGTTTTATTTGGTGATCGTGAGACGCGGTCTGGTGTGACGTAGGTTTTAGAAAAACATTTTCTTTATCGTGCCAACGTTTCGATTTTTATTGAGATCATCTTCAGGGCCTGGGATTTATAAACATTGTTTCGATTGTACAAATACAAGTAAGATGTGAAAATTAATTTCTAGCACTGTATAAATTCATTTTTTTTCGCATCCTACATGTATTTATAAATTTAAACAATGTTTATAAATCCCAGGCCCTGAAGATGATCTCAATAAAAATCGAAACGTTGGCACGATAAAGACAATGTTTTTCTAAAACCTACGTCACACGAGACCCCATCTCAATTTCCAAATAATCGTTAACTTATCGGCCACTAAATACCACACAAATGTGATCAATAATAAATACTCAACTTTTGGACCAATTTTTTCATTTTATTTTGACCTGTTAGTATATTGTTCCGAGTCGTTTGAAGTGCTAGTCAGCGTTGTTTTGTATATTGACTCACGTTGCGCCATCAAAAAATGGCGATAATTTTTTTTCATTCAAATATGGGAAAACATATCCTAGGGAAGTGATGAGACATTGGCACGAAAGGTATCCTAGTTGTCCGAGTAATTTCTTTTCAGTTGTGCCTGTTATTTACTTGGTACCAGACCTACTCTCGAGCGATTAACACTAGTCAAGTCACGCATAGCCACCAGTTTATGCTCACTGGGCTCTAAATTCTGATAAAACAAATAGGTGAACAATTTCAAAATGCGTTATTGTCCACTAGGAATAATTAAACTTTAATACTATTATTTGATGAGATTTATAAAGTACTTCCCTTTAAATATTTAGTTAAAAAGCAACAACGAGCAGACTGATTAAATCTTTAGATAAGACAAACGGAATCCACAAAATGGGACAAACATGACATTTTTTGAAGAGGTTGATAAACCATTATTGATAATGCACGCACGTAATATTCAGAGTATTGTTAAGCACGCTAAATTCTGTAATACTTTTATACACGTTTAATCCAAACTGCTTTTCTTTCCTTTTATCCAGTTGGATAAGGTTTTATTTTAAATAGGGGATCAGCCAAATCACTTGGAACTTAGGACTTAGAAGATTTAAATACGTTAACATACGGATTTTATATATTTTCTTATTCATGGATTCCGTTTTCACTGGTTTTACTCTATGTACAACTGAATTTTTGATTATGTTTTTGAACGTTGGCCGAGTTGTTGAAACCTTACACAACCGTATAATCTAAAAAGTTCCTTGACTAATTATAATTCAACAACTTTTATCAATGCAGTCACCGTACTCAATTTTTTACTTTTTAATTAATTTAACTAACTTGTAGGCAGTATGAGGAAAGGAAAACGAAAATATATTTTTTCCTATCCTGAAAAGGAAGAACGTAATTTCTCCCGTTGCTGGACACGTAAAGAAATATTGTTTCGTGCAAATGACAGTTATGGTAAGAGAAATCCTAAGCTATTATTTACAGGAATCAACGGAGATATTGAACTAAATTGTTACTCTTGGTTTGCCTCATTTCCTCGTTTGAAGATTTACTAGCACGTCAGATTGCGTGGTTTCCACTCCCCAATTAATCCAAGAAACACACTCTACTTTCTGCAGCAACATTATGGAATTTTTTGTACTGTTTTGTCCGCAAAGCAATTGGCATTATTAGGCAGCAATGTTTAAAATTAGAGGATGAAAAAAAAGCACTGAGAGTCAATGATTTCAATCACGCTCAAAAGATTATCTTATTCTTTTGCCAACAATTTAATTTTGCTACTAACCATGTATTTGCAACGCTAAATTTTATACTTATAGAGCGGAAAACAACTAAAAGTTTCTATAATCTAATTGTGAAAAAATACAAATCAATGATTGAGCTGATTAAATAATAAGGATGTTTTTCTGACAAAATATTTATTCCATTATTGTCAGAAAACGTTCGATGGTAAAAACACGATATATTGTTCTTTTCTATTGACAAATCTCTATTGTATTTTGTGAAATGTGATAATAATAATAATAATACCATCCTTCCAGAAAGTTTTGGTCTTTTGATCGAAACATTATCACGATTACGTTTATCGAGTAAATGTTGTTATTTTGAATAGTTTTGCCTTCTAATAAGTATAGATAATACATTGATAGTATCTGCTCTTAGTAGTGTTCTGATGTCCTCTAAGATAGCCGAACTTTTGTTATAAAAATACCAACTTTCTTTCCCGGTCTTATCAGAAATAGATTGCTAAAGATACTCTTTGAAAGCCAATCTTAACAGCATCATCGGTGTTAACTAGAAAGATGGAAATCTTCATTATTTTCTTACTTGAACCTAATAAAAATTAAATATTAACAATTTTTCATTGGATGACTGTAAGTATAAAATCGATGAAGAATTCAGGGAAAGTGTTTACTCAGAAACGTAATTAATGAGAAAATAGAGACTGATAAAAACAAACAGACAGTTTAATTTTTAATGATCACTAAGCATAAATTTCCATTTAAATTTTTGATCAACTTAAATAGTTCACCTTATACACTCTTCGTTATAAACATTCCAAAACTCCAAGATTTTGCATTTTATGAGCACATCGGCTTTTATATAATTTAAAAAGGCTCAGAATTACAAAACAAATAGTATTTGTTAAATCTGAACATTTGTTTGGTTAAAATAACAAATATTTAAGAAAAACTAAAAACAACAAAATTCTTCTTGAATTTTTTTACTACAATTAATTATTTTTTTTAAGAAGAAGAAGAAAAATAACTTTATTCTGGGACTGGTATCCCCTAAGAATAATTTACATGAAATAAATAAGAGAAGTTCCTTCTATGAAGTTAAAAGTAAAAAAAAGATAGAAATCTTGGCACAATGTATACCAATAAGGCAGGACAGAAGAAAAAATTACGAGAATATTAAACAAAAATAAGAAATGTTAACGTGAGGTTACAATTTTGAAGGAAATCTTAAGGTACGTTTCACTCTTCCAATATAGCTGCTTCATTTCAACAGTTGTAGGGAGTTGATGTCAGTCAAGTCAAGTCACCTGCGGTGTTGAGGTACTCAGAAATACACATTTTCTTACGTGGCCGAGCATTATCATGGTTCAGAGCCTACGGATGGTATAAAAGGCATTACATGATCTTGTTGGATCATCTGCATATACATCATGGTTGGATTGTTTTCAACACGGTACGTACCTACCAAAAGTCCAGGTCAGTTTCAACGTGCAGTGCGGACTGCACCGCTCTCGAAGTCTTCTCCAGACTCTTTCACACGGCTATCTGAACTGTGATTTTCGTCTCATTGGTGAATAGGTCGTTTTCCATTCTTGAGAAGGGGTTTCTTGACCGACTTGATCCTTTTGTGTTGAAATCTGTACGGCCTTTTGATCTAAGGCTTGACTCTCTCAATCTTGTTCTAACAGGCTTCTTGACTGTGAAATTGACATTTCTCACCAAATACCAGCGCCTTTTATCAGTACTTATCAATTAGTTTCCAGATTGCTTACGTTTAAATAAAATGTCTATAACATTGGCGGTTTTGGGACGCCCTGAATTTGGTCTCCTCGAGTCTCCTTGCACTTTTTAATGCCCGTTGAAATCAGAATACGAGGGTAATTAGCGATGTAGCTGAATCGTTTTCTACTTTATGTAGAGTGATACTTCTGACTGATTTGTCATGGCTATTATATATTACGACGCAAAAGGAAATTAACACAGGTATGAAAATACCGGCTGAAAGCAACTTTGAATGATTCAAGAAAAAATTAGATTGGTTAGTAAGTAGGAATTAATAATATTATTAATCCCCAATGTCTCTTATGTAACCAGTGACAAAAGTATCTATAAACAAAACTTGGACTAAGATGAGAAACTAAAAATATAGCGAGATTTATAGGCGTTTTTTTAATTGTAGTTTCTGTAACAATTGAAACAAATTTTTTTAAATAGTTAGGAAAGATATATTTTAAAAGCACTTAACGTTTGTTTTAACTTTACAGTCTTAGGGCTTTAATTATCGAGTGATGTAAGTCGCTCTCGACTCCGGTAAATATATTTATTTTCAGCCAAGGCGGAAACAGGGGAGTCCATTAAGTAGGAAAGGTCTCAAGGTCAATCCTCATCCTTAACCCTAACGTTCACTTAGGGACCCCCATGCTACTTTCCCTACTTCCCACGAGCTCCTACAAGTAAGAAGGAAAAAAATTATCAGTGATACGTTCAAGATTTTCCTTCTCAGACTTTCACCATTAATCTTTTCCAAGGAATATAATCGATTTAAACATCCATTCTTATCTTTCTCCCATCACTACGTGAAAATGATGATGGATTACTATTCAATGACACTTTTGCCATCTTCATTTTGATAAATTTATTACGGATATCCCGTCAAAGTCAGTTTCTTCATTTAATAATCTTACTGAAGGTTAAGTGATTTTTAAAAAATCTAGAAGAAAGATTTTAAAGTTTAAACAATCCTATGATTGTAGGATAAAAACAAAAATATCTAGACATGAAACAGATACTGAATTGAACGCAACCGTTTAGGCGTTGACACGGCTCTCATCACTGTAAGGTAAATGTCCGGGGTTCGAATCCAGCGTCACATACAAGTGGGCATTTTTCAAAAACACTATCGTAAAAAATTAAATAATTATTTGAATATTATATATTCATTATATAATATATATATTTAATTGAAAAGTTTAGTATAAACTGAAATCGGTAATATAAGCTGAAGCAAACTTTGTAAAACCCACAGACCCTTTGGTTTGTGTAAATATACCAAAGCATTTACAATTTTACTAATGGATAAGTGAAAATTTAATATCACTTGGTTTTCTAATTTAATATGAACATTGATTTATTTTTATGTGCGTATCACGATATATTCATTGTACTGGATTGCACAAATTGATTTATTATTTAATTTTTAATTGTACTTTATTCGTTAAACAACATTACATTATGCTGAGTTTTTGTAACAATATCTTCGTATGTAGTGTCATCCCTTTCAAAAAAATATACAAAAAATAATTTTTTTTGTTATTGTATAAACCTATGAATCAATAATATAAGTTATGGAATGTTCTGTCAATGTTTTCCTTTTTCTCTTGAAAAGGCCAATTACATGTGACTTTTAAACATGTCATAATTATTAAAGATTCCTTTAATCACTTACGACGTAAATATTTGAATGTTAACGGGCCGTGTACAAAGGGTAATAACTTCAGTAGTACGGGTATTTGCATTGTCATTTCCTTGCTCCAGGAATAGCATAAAGGAGCCAATTAGCAAGTTGTATTGTGTATAAATCTAACAAGTTTGTTTTGGTATGACGATATAACAGTTTGAGTTTTTTCATAGCAATTCTTCTGCGAGTAAAAGTTCTCAATGTACGTACTTAGATTTTGAAGGTTTATTATGAAAGATGTTTTTGTTCAATTAGGCTACTGACAGCGTGCACTTTGCAGTTTGAAAAATAAACTTTATTTTACTGTTTTGAAGTAGACATTTTTTAGGATGTGGCTCATTTCTTTTAGGAAAAACTTCTCAAACATTCGAACAGTTGAAAAATTGATTGGGAGACTTTTTCCTTAATCGAGGAGTTTTACCCTCTGATTGTCAAACGGCTTCACGAAACTAAACACTTTTTAGTGTTTACCTCTTTTTTGAATGTATTTGGAAATGTCATTTCATAAATAATATCTTATTGTTTTGGCATTTTCTCAAAAACGACATATTTACGTAAAAAAATAGTCTAAAATATAAATATAAAAGAGAAAGCACTTAGTTGATAATTAATGTGAGATTATTTTATAAGCCAATCCGTCAGGTGGTAAATTTCAAAGAAGTTCAACCGGCCGAAGTAAATAGTTCGTAGCCCCCTGTCAGTTTTCTGGCTTAGTGAACTGTATTCATCATACTCCACGTGACTTTGTCGAAGGCCCTTTAATAACTTTCAACAGGAAGTATATATTTGGTCAATTTATTTGTGTTTAGTTATTGGAAGCTGGACAACTCGTAAACTCTCAACTGTCTGTAAAAAACGGTTATCAAAGAATTTCATACCCACAGAACGGATAGAAAAAAAATCACGCCAAAAATGATATAAATTTTGAATTAAATAAAGAAAAAAAGTTAAATAAACAAAGTTTGAACAAATTGAAGAAAAAGAAACATTTTTTCTCAAATGAACTTTATAAATAACTTATTTAAGCGAATACCGTGTCGAAATACTAAGTAAAGTAAGAAAAATATGAAATTAAAAATACTAATTAAATTAAATACTAAAAAATAATAATTAAGTTGGCCAAATTAAAGGCAGTAAAAAATTATTACAAAAACAGTGTAGTATGAATATGAATTAGGCTGAAAGGTTGTTTTGTGCCATATTAAATTTTACAAAAATTAAATGTACATTTTGTAGTTTGAAAAATATGTACGGTTCCAGACTATATTTAAGGCCAGATGTGAACAGTCTTACCTACCTACTATGACAAAATAATGTAATTTATAAAATATTTATTATGTATTTTAATCAAAAACATAAAGCTGTTTCATTTATCTAGAAAAGTTTCCCAAACTCGTTATATCTATTTTAACCTCATCTACGGAAGTTATTTGGTTAAGATAAGGTTAATGTTTAAGATTAAAAGGAGTAGCCCTATTTAAAATCTTGCGCTCCACCGCCAATAATGATCTATCGCCAAGCAATCTTCAGCTTTGCCTGAAGCTTTTCGTTAATCTCAAAGCTTTCTTTAAGGCTTTCCTGTCTAACCTTAGGTTTTCTTATTCCAGAAGTAAGAATCTATGCCTACATAGGACCAACGGAGGACTTCCGCTAATTTTCTTTTTCTGGGCAATGTCCTTCGCAGGCTTTTTATGCCGTTCCACTGTACATTTGCCTCCGGATTCCGCAGTGTCTCGTCATATGTACTGTTTTAATCCTAACAACTCCTTGATTTAGTACTTTTTCCGTTAATAAGCAATTATTAATAATTAAATAAAAATTATTGAATAAACTCTGACCTGGTGTACAATCTTATTGAACCAAGGACCTACTTTTAACTAATTGTCTGATGGATCTACGTTTTTGATCATTTGGTATGGTGCAGGTGCAGGGTCGATAGGTGTTCTCACCAAACTTTCCTTGGCCACTTTATCGGTACCTTCGTTGCTCTTCTATCATGTATTACTTGGTACCCAAGCAAGGGTAATTTTGTTATTTTCCCAAACGGCTCTGGACTTTACTACCAATGGGGTTGTTGACTTTATTGCCGATTGGCTGTCGAGTAGATAACTGTTCTTTTGTTTTTTATACCCAACGTAAAACATTTTGATTTCCCTTTTTCATAGTGTTCAATAACTATAGTCTCGGCCTGAAAAAGACAGATACATATTGTTTTAGACTTATATAATATTCTAGTCAATAGTTTATTTCTACAGATACTCTCGGTTTTAGTTATCTGTATGTAGTGGGCATTAACCGGGATCCTTTTCTTCCATTCTGCTCGGGTATTTTAATTTGAGATTTTTTATCAAATCAGATTTTTGGCATGGCATCACCAAAACTTATCTGCTTGAGATTCCTTCTTTAATCACGCCTTTTTTACGGGATACAGATTAGGTAAACAATATAGCTTATATTTAATATATAATTTATTATTTAGAATATTAAACCAAGGATAACAATAGATATAAAGAACACAATATGTATAAAGAAAATAAACAAGGATTTGTCAAATTTACGGAAATCACAAATTTTTATTAAACAAAAAACAATATTAAGTAGGAATGATTCACAAATTAGTTTATTTATTACTGTATAAAAAAAATAAATACAAGGAAAAGTTTAAATTAAGATGTATAATTTCTATTTTACACGTAAACAATTTAAGTACAGTGTTTCAATTGATTACAAATTGCAGCCAATATATTACTCTAGACAGGAAAATTTAGTCTCTAACAATAATCAGTATAAGGGTAAGTTTTGTGTAATATAACATTATTTACGGCTCTTGTAGAATGCAATCAAATTCCAAGCTGAACAGATGGGGCAGTTCCATTGTCTCTCAACACTCAACATTGTTTTCCGTTTGATCCGGAACAACCGTGAATAGGTCGTAAGGAACCTTTTCCGTTGTAAATATGAAACATTACTTAAGTTGAAATAAGTTCATTTTGAATATTTAACTGTTTACTGTACATATTGTTAATTGAACTACAACCCAAATGGATTGTTTGACTTAATTCACAATACAATTTGTACAATAGCATTATTTGATAATAAAAGAGAAGAAAGTCAAGTTAGTAAAGTTTTAGTTATAGGAAAAGTCGCCTTTAAAACATTTTTCAAAGTCATTATCAATTTTTTTCAATGCAATTGTGATTGATTAGTTGGTTTTTAATGGTAGAAGTGAATTCAGTGACACTCCAACCCCAAGGATCGGGATTCAGCTGTTCAAGGGTCAACTTGACCCCGGGGAAATCTGCGCGGCTCTGACAGCATCTCTCACTTCCACGGATCAACTCAGGACTGCTTTTAAGTGGACGGCTGTCTCGCTTTCAATTGTAAAAGAAAGACAGTCAGAAAGTGACGTGTTCAATATTCACATTATTTGATCAATTCTTATTAACATCATTAATAAACAATATGTGCAATGGGAAATAATTTGTACTAATCAACTTTGCCTCATTAAGGATTGAGCAAGATTAAATTTTACCCATGAGAACATACCCATCGGAATAATAACTCGCAATGATATGATTTTGTTTTTGAAAATATTGTTGAATATACGGATTTGTCCCACAAAAAAAGAAAGTTTCTCTCGAAATTTAGGCAAACAACATTGTGTTTTGATACTTCAAATTTTTATTTAGTTAAGAAAATGAAAACCTGCACTTTTTGGCCGCCTCATTGCAAACCACCCTGTATATTTAGTAGAAAATTTATTGAAATGGCATGGAAAAATAAATATGTAAAAAAGAGAGAATACATGGTATATAAACTGCCCAAAAAATGAATAAGGAGATTGCTAATTTTTTTCATACTATTTACTTTCCCTAGCATTTTTATTTAATTTAATTAAGGAAAATTTAATTAAGGCATTTTGAAAAATAACAAAATAAAAGGTGTTAACTCTACATTTTGTTTATTGGACGCAATAACTTTTTAAAAAGTTTATTACCGTGTATAATGTCCTCTGTTAGCTAAAACCTCTGGGCCTGTTATGCACACTGTTAATAGGGTTGTCACTAATTTCATAAGGAATTTCTCTCCATAGATGTTGCAAGGATGCACTCGGTTGTTGCAGGTCAACTGCCTGTGGATGGTAATCGAAAAGCCTTCTCTGCAAGGCATTCCATATGTGCTCAATTCGGATTGAGGTTTGGAGATATTGGAGGAAGGGCATAAATTCCCATGTTTTCTAAACGTTGATGAACTACTCTATAAGGTCTGTCATTGTCATCCAGAAATCGAAAATCCCTGCCAATGAAATCTTTGGTTTGGGGGATGTATTCTTTGAATAATGGACTGCGGTGTGGTAGCCTTTAACAATATGGAGTCCAGTTCGTCCTCAAATCCCATCCCAGACCATTACACCGCTTCCTCCTACTTGCACTAAAGGTGGCACGAACTAGGGTTACCACCATACAGACAGAAACGCGAATCATCAGTAAACATAACAGCATTCCAATTGGTGTTCTCTTCTAGACGATCGCTGTACCCTATTCTCATGAGTTGCTGGTGGCGGGCTGTTGCTGCAGGTCTTCTCAAAGGGGCATACGATGTGAGGTCAATTTCTCACAAACAATTACGAATGTTCCGTCTTGCAGCAATGACAATGTGCCTTCCCTTATTGTCGTAATGCGCTGTGATACCAGGCCTCTTATTGGGACTTCCAGTCTCTCAGATTCGGGCTAAAGCCCGGGACACCTTGCTCTGAGAAACGCCATCTTTCTCTGCGATATCCACTTGCCGGTGGCCTCAGTGACCCATTCTCACAAAGATGTTGCGAACTTTTGGTTCTAGATGATGTCTTTCCATGGTTAAAGAGATTACTGAGGACTGAGGTGAGGTTGCCTTAAGCAATATGGAGTGCAGTTTATCCTCCAGTGAAAATCCCCCCCCCCCCCAAATACACCGCTTCCTCGAAACTGCACTGAGTGGGGCATTGCACGCATCCCCTGTTCTCGATAGACTCTTTGGCACCTGCTATCACTATATAGACAAAAACGCGACTCAACAGTAAACGTAACAGCATTCCGAATGGTGTCCACTGCTAGGCCCTCGCTGCACCATGTATGCTGAAGGTCTTCTCAAGGGGGCATACGATGTGAGGGCATCTTCCCACAAACGATTACGAATCGTTTGGGTTGATAAAGGTCTTGCCGAAACATCTTGAACTTCATTCAGGATCTAGCGGGCACAAGGAAGGGGTCCCGTCTTGCAGCAATGACAATATTTCTGTCTTCCCTTAGCGTCGTAATGCGCCGAGATCCACTACCAGGCCTCCTTTGGCACTTCCAGTCTCTTCTGGCCTCTGCGATATCCACTTGCCGGTGACCTCGATGACTCATTTTCCCAATGATATTGCGAACATCTCATTCAAGATGATGTCATTGTATGGTTAAATAGATTACAACTTTATTTAAATGGAGAAAAGACTAGAAAATGTGTTTGCTTACAAAATGAATAATTTTCATAATTCTTAAGTAAATTCGTTATGAAAAATGAGATTAACATTTATTACAATTAATTAAGGTTTTTAGTTGAGATGAAAAAAAGTTAATGGCACGAGCGGGATTCGAACCCACGATCTTCGGCTAGATACGCCGCTGCTCTGCCACTTGAGCTATCGTGACCTCGATCCACTCGGACATCAACTTCCTATCTCAACCCCACCTTATGAGTTTTCCCTCCTTTTTGTCATTTTTCAAATGACGTGTAATCGGTTTGGATTCTCAATTCTTGAGACAATTGAAATGGCCACGGAGAGCTTTAGTGAAGTGTACTTCATATTAATTCTTTAAATTCACTAATTTCGTGGTCCGCTTGACCAATTAAATCATTACAAATACTTAAGGTTTTTAGTTGAGATGAAAAAAATGGCAAAAAGGAGGGGAAATTCATAAGGTGGGGTTGAGATAGGAAGTTGATGTCCGAGTGGATCGAGGTCACGATAGCTCAAGTGGTAGAGCAGCTGCGTATCTAGCCGAAGATCGTGGGTTCGAATCCCGCTCGTGCCATTAACTTTTTCATCTCAACTAAAAACCTTAATTAATTGTAATGATTTAATTGGTCAAGCGGACCACGAAATTAGGAAATTAACATTTATTTGTTTTTGCTATCTATTTTCCATTTTGTATTATGCAACTAACAAGAATATATTGGTTATTTTAATTAAAACTAATAGAATACGAATAAATTACCAATATCCCTGTTCAGTTTTGAGCATGTTAGAATGCACGGTTCATGATCTGGCGCTTATAATATTATTCTAATTTAATAATAATTTTCTGTATATCGAGTGATTTTCTAAATCGTAAAGACTGTATCGTTTTAGTGATGTGTATATGTGAGTGTTTTGGTTTTATAGGTAAAACGTTTTTTTTTCAGTTTAAATTATATAGAGTTATGTTTAGTTTTTTAGGTGTATAAAAATTGCAACGATTCGAGTTATATGTTTTTCTGGTAAATTAACAACGGGATAAACACGACGCGAGACCAAGAAACAAGTGAAGATTGTCGCCCTTAAACATATCACCTGAAACATTTAAATTATTCGTAGAAAGATGTGCTTGTTACCGACGCCTTTCACGTGTATCCTAAATCCAAATAACGTCACCTGGGCCTCCTAAGTGAATCGAGCATTTCAATCAACTCAGCCATTTATACGTTTGTTTTTTTACAATCAGTGGTGCAGGTGCTTGTATCTTGAGAAGGTCGTGTATTTTAGATTAATACGATTATTTACCGAATCGTCTATGTATCATAATTATGAAAGCGACGATTGTAAAACTTTCTGAATTTTTCTTTGATTATTTAAACATTAGGCATTTAAAAAGATGAAAGTCTTATAAGGAGGCTTTATGAGAATTTAATTTTTTTAAAAAAGTTAATTGAGTCATGAAAAATGTATGCCCTGGCCAGAAAGCACTTTATCTTGCAAATGACGAGTACTCAATCAGATATAATTTATACAAAATGGGCCAGGTGGTTGTAAAAAAAATAGCGCGTAACTTAAAGTAGTCAATACTCCAGTGATAATTAAGTTAGAGATATAAAGATTGGGTTGTAAACCTGTTTTTTGTCGAAGGAATTGGTTTTAAATTTTAAAATTTCTTGGCAGACAAATATGCTGGTTTTTTCTTGATA